ATACCCAAAACTTTATGGAAAAAAAAAAGTTCAATCAGCTTCTAAGTCAAGCTGAATCTTTTCCATTTGCAGGTTTGGAACTTGAACGGTTTTTGCCTCCTTACCAGTGTTTACTTCGCTGTGTAGTTGTTTAGTCTTTGATTTAGTCAGTGCCTGGGTTATAATAAGCTCAATAAGGGTTGAGAAAGCAGACTCAGCATGGAATGTGTAGCTTTGAGAAGTTGTGTGTTGTTGTCTTTGGAAGTGATAAAGCTGAAGTGGTTGCCAGAGGTGTTTATTCACTTCGAAAGTATTAATGAAAATCAATATATATTTGTTTCGTAAGGCATTTATTCACTGATTGTTAGGTAGCATTCTTGCATTACACACAGAACAATGAACAAAACAAAGTCCCTGGTTATCATTCTAGTGGGGTAAGACAAGCAATAAATTATATGTGTGTTTATACATATATTATGTAAGGGGTGATACCTACCATGAAACTTAACAAAACAGTAAAACAAAGAATGATGGAGAGAGGGGTCTGGAGTTGTGGCTTAGTGGCACAGCGCTTACCTGGCATGCGGGAGGCACTGGGTTGGAGCCTCAGCACCACATATAAATAAAGTTATCGTGTTCATATACAACTAATAAATTAAAAATTTTAAAAAAATTGAAAATGATGGAGAGATATTTTATATATTACCTACGGGCAGCTTAGGGAAGGCCCCTCTTGAAGAAATGTCATTCAAACAGAGACGTAAAAAAAGGTTGGGGATAGGGGGTGTTGGATTTAGCTATCCAGATATCCTGGGGCCTAGTGTTGCAAGCAGAAAAATGAACAAGTAAAATATTCTGGGAAAGATTAAGCCTACTCTGTTGGCTTAAAAGAAATCAAGGAAGAGAAGAAGAGAGAGAGAAAAGGGAAAGAACTGATGAGACTAAAGCTTCAGTTCTTTCTTCAACAAGCCAACTGAAAAAAATCCCACTGTATCCCCCAACCTGGTATAGTAGAAGCCTAACATATATATATGTTGAGGGAATGTTTGAAGTTTACCTTCGCTTTTTCAGCTTTCAGAATTTTGTAAATAAACTGTTTCATGCAAATTAATGCGGGGGGGGGGAGTGTTATTCCAAATTAACCTATGGGACAGCAAGCATATATACCATTAAAAGGCAAACAATAAACAATGGAAGCCTTGTGTTTGGTTAATGTCTGTTAGCTTACAAAAGTCTGTCTCCAGGGTGCCACTCAGAGCAACCTTTAGACTGCAGCGTTTACAACCACTCTATGATGTCTTAGCAAAAACCTGCACCTGACCTGTCCAAGTATTGCTAGCAACACCCGAGATCCCTTTTAATCACATGACCAAAACCATATTTGCCGGGGGTAGTGGAGCTTCCCTACTTGTGTCAACAGCCCTGGAAATTCTTAATTATCCAATCGACATTAGGAACCCCAAATTCCTCGGAACTATTCATTTAGACCATTTATAAATGTCTTGAGAGGTGTGAAATCAAATAACATGGTCACTTCAAAACGTGAAAATCTGAAAGTTGATCATTTTTCCTAAGGGCCTTGTACATAATTTTTCAAAATACGTAACTTTTAAAAATGCATCTTCAGCGGCTGGCTACATTAGTTTCCTTCATTCTATTATACCATGCAAAATCCATCGATGCCAAAAAATCATTTCTTTTATTTTGAACGGAAAGCCTTAATATATTTTATCACAATTAAATTCCTACTGCCTAGGAAATTTTGCAATTTGCAAAACTGCACGTGAGACCAATGAAAAGCACTGCCTCCAACCAGCTGGTACTGCAACACTTCATTTGCCCAGAGCCCAGCTCTAGCACTTTCTCCCTACCCCACCCCTCTACCGCTGCCCGGGCTTCCCCGAGTCTTTGCGCAGGGTCAGGACTCAACCAGGTCCCGCCCGGTCGCGGCCAACCCAGGCTTGGCGTTCCGCCTCGAGGCTCTCCCGAGGCCGCTGCCGACCTTCCTCTAACCCGCCCCCGGGGGAGCCGCTCGAAAACTGCTGTGTCAGAACGGTTCGAGGAGTCCCGAGAGTAAGCGCCAGCTTTAATTCGGGAGGGATGACTATCCAAGGCAGGCCCGCTGAGAGGCGGAGGGCAAGGGAGTGGCGCAGCTGTAGCGAGAGCTCCTCCCGCGTCCCACTCCGTTCCCGCACCCCCTGCCAGGCCGCTACCGTCTGCCCGAGTCTGGCGAGCGGGGAGCGCAGCGCGGCAGCGCGCACGCGCGGAGAGAAGCCAGCAAGCGCCTCCCCGCCCCCGCCTCGCCTCCTCTCACGTGCCTCTCAGCGTGCGCCCCGACATGTGCGGGCGCACGTGACGCGCCGTGTCCGGCTCTGGCTCGCTCACCCGCTCACCCCGTGCGGCTGTACTTTGAACCCAGGCGTGGGAGACGGGGAGGGGAGGGAGGCAGGAAAGCCGGGCGGGGAGCGTAGGGAAGCAGGAGGCCGACCTCCGGGAGAATGATATCATCGGCGGCTTTATCGCTAGGCAACCTAAGAATGCTTCTCTCTTTCCAATCCTAGAGCTCCGTGAAGCTTTCAAGACTGATGACATTGTCCGCCCCCCCCCTTTCGTTCCCCAACCACGCAAGGCTTAAACGGCGGTTTAAGGGGCGAGGGTTGGTTTATCAGTTTTGAAACGAGTGCATTACAAACGCAGAGGTCAGCCGTCGATGCAGTGTGGCACCCACTTGGGAAGGTCTGCAGAGATCCTCAGGGGTGTGGACATACGTACACAGGGGTATCTCTTATCTGTTCAGCCACATGCAGATTGCACAGCTGCGTTATAGTAGGTAGATAAGCCTTCCTCAAGATGATATATGCTTGAAAACTGAGTCCTTCTTAACATAACAGGAAGAGAATCCATTGTCTTTATCGTCAAGTTAGAGCGGGTGTTCTGGCTGCTCTAAGTAACTGAGGTCTCCAGAAGTTGTACCTAGGCTTCAGTCCTTCTGTGAAAGCCAATTTTCCAATCACAGTAAGAAAGCTGCAAAGCCACATATGGAAGCAAAGTTTATTACAGAACTATCTGGCGGATACTCAGTTATCTCTGTTCAGCACATCATATTCTCTGTGCACACCCATATGGAAAAGCTTCCAAAATTGAAACTCTAGCTAAAGTTCACAACGCCCTAAAAATACCCTATATAAAAACTGTAGTACATGGCCCTTCTTTCCTACTTGCTCAATTCTACAGGTTTCCTCTTTCCAGCTACGTTATTTTGGTCCAGGGTTCCTTCTTTCATGGAGAAACTCTTGAGCTTAAGGAGGACCACACATTTACAGAGATGTGGAATAGGGATGGAAAGTCCACCAGATCAAATGGGGACTTCCAGACCAGGAAGGGCTCATTCTTGGAGGCCTACAAAGTGAGCAGACAGCAGAATAGTGTTGTTCTTTGTGGAAGACTGAAAATTATTTTTGGCAGAATTTAATCTCTGTTATAATTATTGCATGACTCTGTGCCATATTTTAGAAAGATTATTACCATGATAATCTTCCTGCCTCCACCAATAACTATATTTTGGCACTTAGGATCTCACATGGACTAGCTCAACTTATTTCAAGAGAAAACCTCAGCCTTCCTCACCACTAAATCTCTTGTAATGGTATAAAAAGCAGTAGGATCCAAACTAACAAATTTAGCACCAACCTTGGTTCTGTCACTTATTGGACTTTGTGACCTTGGATAAGTTTCTAGTCTCAGCTTCCTCTCAGAGATTTTTGGAAAAAAAAAAAAAGCCTTAGGATGCCATGCCTCCCTGTGAGTTGCTGTTTTTCTCAATTCCCCTGTGAGTACAAAGTGAAGAACATGATCACCACTCCCTTATGTGAAAGGAAAGAAATCACCATTAGCTTTTCTTGTAGAACAGATTCATGGAGGAGGTGAGACTGAGCTGCTTGTCAGATACCTGTTGTCATTTCTCTGCATAAGATATTATGTGATGGATGGTACCATATCTCCCATTGTAGTAGGAAATGTCATGACTGCCTAGTCCCAGTTCATGGTTCAGATCCTCAGGAGGAGATGCTCGTGAGAGCCATGAGGGCAGTCAAATTCTTATATTTATTTTTATGTGGTGCTGAGGATTGAACCCAGGGCCTTGTGTGTGTTAGGTGAGCACTCTACCACTGAGCCCACAACCCCAGCCCAGGGCAGTCAAATTCTAAAGAGACCAAACTGTTAGGAAATCTTTGGTCAGACCTCAGTGCAGATATAATATTAAATTGTCCCTGCAGATTAGCTTAGCATTAGATAGGTCTGTGCCAGAGTTACCTTCTTGGACATGATCTCATGAACTTATTATCTGTTTCTTCTGTAAAACCTAGCTACTTCCCCAGGCTGCCTCTGATCTACCAATAGGAAGTTGCAACCTGTCTTCCCACCTGACCTTTGTGTCCAACCCTTCCAACACTACATTGCAATATAATTTGTTTTAGAATGTTTCAGGAGCTTGAGATTTTGAGATTTTCTTTGATTCTCCAGCATGTACTACAGCATCTTGCATAAAATTAGAGCAAAACAAATGTTTGGAGTTACAGGTATTAGGCCAGTGGTACAGTGCTTGCCTGGCATGCTAGAGGCCAGGGGTTGGATCTCTGGTCAATCCCCATCCCCACACCAGCAAAAATCAGAATCCTGATGCTGTTTATTAAGTCCAAAAGAAAAGGAGTATGCCACAATCAATGAGTCTGAAACCACTCCCCAGAGGCTCTGCAGTAGGTGTATCTAAATACAGAAGCAGCATCCAGGCCTACACACCCATCCTGCCAGTTTGTCAGAATGCTTTTGCTGGATCAGCACCCCTAAAGCCCAAGGTCAGTGAGAGGTTACACTGGAGAAGCAGGAGCTAGGGTCATCTATGAGTCAAAATGCTGAATCCGTTTTCATAAATGTCCCTTGGTCCCCTATTCTAACCAACATGAGAGAAAGAAGTGTTCAATCAAATAATTTGTTTTGACATGAAAATTTATTGTTAGATGTGGACTAAAACCGTTAGCAAGTTGCTTTTATTTTTATGTAAGAAAATGATAGAGAAATACAAGAAGTATTTGAAGCTTTTGAATAAAGAGTCTGATATGGAACATAGCTGAGAATCTGGAAGTTAAAGGACACAATGATAAAAAGAAGACTCGGGAGAGTCTACAAACTCACACAATTTATGTACAGAAGAGTCCCTCAGGTCCTCTGTTAGAACCTATTTATTCTAATTTTAGACACATTTCAGATGGGTGTGGTTTTGTTTAAATGGTCTCCTAGCCCACAGTAAATCAGAGGTAGCAAATTAGATAAGGGATGGAGGTAGCACTCTGACCATCAAGAAGTGACAGCTGACAGCCTGGCTTTGTAAGAACCCAATAAGAATCAGTACAGGAGCAAATACTCTTCGAGAGTATAGAGTGATATTTATAATGGCGACTCTGAATTGAGAAAGGTTTAATATGTTCAGGGTATTTTTTCCAAAAACATGTAAGAGGATATGTGTAAAACTTTTTAGTATGTTTTCCAGTAAGATTTTAAAAAATAAAATGGCATTGGCACCTGAACACAGTTTGTTTAAACTGTTGTTTTGTGGGAAATCACTGAATTTAGAATTTTTAAGTATCAGTTTGTAAAAAAAAAAAAGCATAGTTTTATATTTGAGAGGAATTTTCATTGAACAAGTACAAGAAATTTTAAGATAAATATACAATTCCTAAAATAGCATATTTTTAAAGTACATGAATTGCACATGTTTTTTAGTGTAAATCCCATCTTGATTACAGAAAATATGTGATAATTTCCCATGTCAATCCCCTACTTAAACTCTCCCCTGAAAAGCTGGGACTTTAGCATGCACTGCAAATCCACTTTGAACTTATTTAAAATAACATAGTGAGAACAATGGGTAGGCCTAAGTAAATTAATCTGAAAGTCCAAAATTTCAGAATTAAAAAAAAAAACCCATAAAGTATTAGACTGCTATCTGAAGTAGAATACCTTTATCACAATAGTACAGCCAGCTCTTGGCATTATACTTGTCTTAATTCATTCATGAGAGCTCTATTCGTTTTTATCTAAAGTAAAAGGCTTTCGTCTGTTTGCCCAGCCATATCTTTGCAAGGTCTCCACTGGCAATCACCTCCCATGGAGAAGTCAATAATTGACTTGTGACACAGACAAGAACAAGCTGAGCCTCTCCTTCTACATAAGATTTGAACAAATCCCAGGTGACAGGCAATAACCAAAGTTACAGCCTATATAGTAAGTTACAGAGAACTAAATGAAAAGTAGTTTCACAATGATAGGAACTAAAATTCCAGTCATGTTTTCATAGCTATAGTTGCTAGTACCTTTAAAATGTGCTTAAGTTTAGTTCTTTGGGGAAAAAGGACATTTATCAATTCAATATAACGTCTGTTGAAAAATATATGTATTTAAAATTCATTGGAATAGTACCATTCTCAAGATTCATATTTTTCTTAAAATTGGAAATTCACATGATCCACAAAGCAATTTAGCTGAAATTTCACCACTGCAGATATAGAATGCTCCTTAGTGAATTATAATTCAGATTTCAATCCATTAAAATTAATGAATAAACAAAAATTATATTCTTAAGTGCAACAGACAATATTACTTTGCATTTGCATTTCTGTCCTAATTTTATTATGCTGATGCTATCAAGGCATTTGGACTAAACTGATCTATCAAGTCTGGTCCTATCCTAAATTTTTCTATTTTATCACACAAAAATTATACAAATGCTAAAACATTTTATTAACTTCTCATTTACTTTGAATCTTTTTTAAAAATTATGAAACTAATATTACTGTAATAATAGCATTCAAATGTAGCTCAAAATATTTAAAATGCTGCTTTCTCCATGATTCTGGTTTAATTGGGAAGACTATCCTTCTAAAGTTTAATAAATCAGTAATGCTCAAAAATCTTAAAGAGCTTTCTAAGGTTCATTTTTATTTCCTTTGTTCCTATGGTTTACTCATTTAGTTTCAGGAATTTGCCCAATCAAATTCATCTTACCTGGACCAAGATGCTGCAGTGGAAAGTAGTTCACTGGCTGAGGACTACAGCAGGCCTGGCCTCTAGTGCTGGCTGTAGGTAGCTATGTCACCTTGGGAAGATACCAATAGCTCTGGACTTAGTTTTCTTATAAAAATTCAGGGAACTGGATGAGCCATTCCTTCCAGCCCCATATTCAGTAACTTGCAGTTGAGTTTCCATAATGTCAGCAGAGGGAGCACTTTCACTATGTCTTATAAATTTAGGCTATCATTTTCACAAATCAAGGAGTTTGAGGACACTACAGGAATTAAACACTGACAGTCCTTCACTCCATCTGTATCAAGTCATATGTTTGATAATAAATATGATAAAGGTCTAGAAATTGTTTCTTAAACTCCATGATGAACTTATTCCATCCATGACAGAGTTATTTTATAAAAGTTAATGAATCAAAATACTTGGAGAAATTAAGCATCCTGAGGTGGTAATATACTTAATCAGGACCCCAGTAAAAGAGGAAAACACCAGACTGTGTAGAAGAGGCTGCCTGATGTCACAGACAGAAAGTGAAAATCTTGACAATTATAAAAACATGAGCAAATTGGGTTGAACATAAACAAACCATGCAAGTTATTGGTAGGTTTTTCTGTTGAGCTTTTCATTAGGATACACTGGAATAAGCAAGTAGACACAGCCAGAGCCTGCAGGCTTGCAAGAGATTGGAAATATGTGATATCAGGCCAAACAAAAAAAGTTGTATATCTGAGAACCTTAATGACTTTTGTGTTTTTATACTTACAAATACTTTAAAGCTAACTGAGCGTCCATTATGTCTTTTTTTAATTATTAGACAATCTCATATCATATAGAAAGTTTTTATTCCTTAGTAAGAATTTTTAAGTCACAAAATAGTGCGGCAATATTTAGGTAATAGAATTTATGGAGTGCTGAAAATACTAGAATATAAAGATAATTTCTAGTTTATCTTCATATACTAAACTTTTCTAAACCAGCTGGTTTCTTGCAGACAGTATTTATTTATTTGCTTTTTAATAATTTAAGACAGCATAAGCTTGTACCAAGCATAAGCATTGTAACAAAAGTGCAATGTTTCAGCAAATCCTCCCCAAAAGATATTTTAACTCAAAATATCATTAGCACATAGTTTCTCCCTACAAAAATAGCATGTCAGACATCATTAATTGGATGTATTAACAACTATGTACATAAAAGCCACCTTGTAGGCTAAGAGTTTAACGTTGTTTAAACACAGCGTTTGAGGCAAACAGTAGCAACAGCAGCAGCAAATGCACCAAACTGACTAAAAGACCCAGATATTTTCTTCACTCACAGTCAGACTGTTGTGTCTCACCCCTTACATAACATTCAAGTGAGATTTCTCACAGTGCTACCTTGGCAACAAACTAAAAATATCTAGACAAGGTCCTGGTTTAAGCCTTATTTAAAAAGCTTTCTTTGTGATTATCTGGTATCTGGTTTGGTCTCCAGAAAATACATAGAGTTGGAGATAGGAAGGCCTTACAGGGCTTCTTTCCACATCTTTACAGCATTTCCAACCACAACTGACCAGTTTCAAGCTTTCCTCCACTTTTATGACCTAACAAGAATATAGGATAAATCAGTTTGGACTTGTTTCTTTTTTAAGTTCAGTGCACTTTTTGTTTTTTACAGTAAGATTACAGAAATTTAGAAACAAGATGGATTAAATGAGAATAGATGCACTTCATATATATATATATATATATATATATATATATATGCGCAACATATATGTAACATATGTAACATATATTTGTGTGTGTGTGTGTGTGTGTGAGAGAGAGAGAGAGAGAGAGAGAGAGAGAGAGAGAGAATATTAAGATGAACCAACTGATTCATGGTCAATTTCTCAATAAAGTGCAAGCACAAGATGGTAAGAATGGTTCTGGGCTTCTTCATCCATCTTCCCTGACTTCGTGCTGACGATGGCCCAACTCTGTGTCTCTCAAAACAAGTGCAAGTTAGTAAAAGATACCATTTTAACCACTTCAGAATAGGTCGCAGTGTGGGCAACTGTATCCTCACTTCTTTGAAAAATATATGCCTTTCAAAATGCCGAGCTTGAAAAGATCCTCAATGTGTTGTGGACCTCATCCTAAAACAAGCAGGGCAGCCCTGAAACAAGGCTCTATGTAAAGACTACCTGCTGTCCTCTATCAACTCCAGTCAAGGAACTTGGCACCTTCTCCCCTCCCTGGTTCAATGAGATCACCCACAGAGAAGACCCTTCTTAACTTTCTCTAGAATTAGGTTCCACATTTTAAAAGATAATGGAAGATGGCCTAAAAGGAGACAAAACTTATCAAGGGAACTAAAAAAAGAACCAATAGCTATCGCAGAGGATCTTTAACAGCTGGTGTATGTGGGGGGTAAGGGGATATTAGTGTGCGGAGGATGGGGTGGTGAGAATTGAGCAAAACAGGAACTCCAAATGTACACAAAACACCTGTTTCCCCCCCTTAAGCCTGTCCTGCATCTATCACGCTTCCTCCCTTAAAAACATTAAGGGTGTTTTAACTTGTATTATTATTATTCCTCTTAAACCTCCATCCCTTCTAAGGAAGGGCTCAAGGACTCAGGGGGCTTCCTTTCCTGGCTGTGAGGGATCTTCCTGAGCAGAGCTCTCCGGGTTCCCCGGCTCGCGGGGGCCGGCGAAGGGCAGGTGGGTGCGGCCGTGCGGATGCGGGGGATGCAACGCCCCAGGGGGCGCCACCTCGTGCGACAAGAGGGTCGCGGCAGCAGCCGCGCCCGCCTTCTCGGGAGGGGGCGACAACACCGAGGACAGACAGGGGAAGGCGGCGGCCGCGGCGGCCGCTGCAGCAGCAGCGGCGGCGGCAGCTGGGGCGGGGATGCCGGGGTACAACAGTGGGAACGGGGCGGCGGCCGCCGTGGGGTACAGATACTTCTCCAGGCCGCTCTTGTCCAGGAAAGGCTGCACGTAGGCGGCGGCCGCGGAAGGCGAGAGGAAGTAGAAAGGCAGGCAGAAGGGGGCCGCTGCGGCGGGCTGAGCGAAGGGTGCACCCCCGCCTCCGCCGAACGCCACTAGCGAGCTGAGCAGGGCGGCGTCGGGTCTCAGCAGCGCGGCCGCAGCGGCCGGGTCAGGCCCCAGGAGTGCGGCCGCCGCCGCCGCCGCGCCGCCCCCCGGGCCGCCGCCGCCACGGGAATCCAGCTTCATCCTCTTGGGCGCCGGCGAGTCCTCCCCGGGAGGCTCCTGCTTGATGGTGACGCGGCTCGCCCCTGCGCCTTTGCTCTTCTCGCGGTCTGGCCTGGCCTCGGCCTCTCCGCCGTAGCCGCTGTCAGTGTCCGTGTCGTTCTCCGCGGCGAGCTCGGCGCTGGGCTGAGTCCGCTGGATGACCGGCACGCAGTGGGCGAGGGGCTCGAGCTTCTGCCCTGCGCGCTCCAGGCAGGGGGCGGCCGTGGACCCGGTGGGGGCGGGGGCGGAGGGAGCGCCAGTGCCTTTGCTCAAAGGGACCTGTTGAGTCAACAACTGGGGGGTGGGCAAAAACTGGGTGGCCACGGCGTGCAAGTGGTTGATTAGCTGGACACACCGCGGCTCCCTGGGTGTCCAGCTCTCAAACCGGGAGAGGTATTGCAAGACTTCTTTGGCGCATGTTTGAAATCCCGAGTGGAACGCATCCAAGTCGGACTGAATGGGCGATTTCAGAGATCGCTCCCCTAGGATGAACAGGGGGTGGGGGGTAGGGACAGGAATGGAGGCAAGAAGAAAAATACCGACGTTAAAACATCTGCTTATCACGTGGGCCCTACATTGACTAAAGTGATCTCGTTTTTTCCTCAGTATTCGAGTGATATAATCCACCGGTTGCCGAGAGAAGGGGGGGCGGCTGGGGTTGTGGGGGGGGGGGGGAGCGCTGTCCTCCCAGCTGAAAAACCTAAGTGGAGAGGGCGCAACCGCCACTTTAAAATCTGATTCCGGGTTCAGCTGAAAGCCTCTAGGATGCTTCGGGAAATGGGCACTTGCCAATGAAGGGAAAGTATAAGCAATTTTCACAAGTGAGAGTGAGTCCACTGAAGGGGTGGGGGTGCTGTCTGCGGGCTGCCCCGCTTCAGCAGGCTAACGGGCCTCCCTGAACTGACTTACCATTCTGTAAAGCAATTATCTTCTGATGCTGTTGCTCGGTTAAGGCTGTTAAAGCTTTTAAGTGTTTCAAAGTTAATTCCAAGACTACCGCTTTCTCCAGATGCCCTAGTGTCTGCAGTGGTGCAAAAGAGAAGGGGGCACTTGGTTACTTAAAAGCACACATTTGGCTTGATGGCTCTCCATTCAGCACAGCAACTTAGGCAAGCACTTTGAAAGAACTACTATTCTTACACTTCTTGAGCTTTCCTTAAGACAGGTTATAAATGCTTTCTTGCCTTCAGCTTGAAACACCCATTCTGAGACTGGGAAACTGTACACTAAGGAACAAGTTTTAAGTCAGGCCTCTAATATTTACATTTTTTTCTTACATCTCTGTAAGTCGTACCAGGCTATTATAACGCCCTTGGAGAGCAGCAAAGAATGAAAATGTGCATCTTACTGTCAATTTCAGATGTTCAGGCAGTAAATCTTTCAGCTGAGCAATGCATTCATTAATTCGGTCTCTTCTTTTCTTTTCTATTAATCTGTGCGGTAATTTGTAGGTATCCTTAATACAAGTGTCGTGGAAGAGAGAAAACAATAAGCTAAACAATCACTGGACACAGCAACCCTCCCACTCCCACCCCTCCACAACATACTATGTGATAGAACTATGCCCAAGAAACCTCTTTCCTCTGGACTGTTCTTGAAATGCAATTTAAATTCAGGTATGATGTTTAATATACCCCTGAGAGTATCCAGAAAGCCACTTAAAATTCACAGTTGGGAAAGCTCACAGGCTGGAATATATTTGCGGGCAGAGCTTCACTGTGAAATCAATGGCCCTAATTAACTATCCAGGCAGGTTATGGGAAACATCGGAAACTTACACTTACCTTGCTGTCGTCTCGCTTCATGCTCCTTTTGGGTTTACACATATACAAAGAAGAATAGTCCAGTCTGCAAAACAGAAATCATCATCAGGCACCCATTCCGGGAGGGGCTCTGCCCTTATCGGCTCCATACCACTTTCTGGAGGAGGGAAAAAAAAAAAATCTAACCGAAGCCCAGACAGATATTCGCAAGGGTGCTTGCACCTTACCCTATAAAATCTCTATGTTCCAGTAACTGTCTCTCTTGCAAATGAGGAATTCCTTCGTCCATGTTCAATCGCTGTTTCTTCTGTTTCGATTTTGGGGTCTCTGTTCTATAATCTGTGGGACGGTAGCCTTGGGAGATCTTGGGGGGATCGGTGCGTCTCCAGTCTCTCTCTCTCTCTAGCTCTCCCTCTTCAGTGCAGTGTCGAAAGTGTGAAGCAGTTGGTCCCCCCACCCCCCCCGCGGTCGCTTGCTCTCTGGCACACACGCACACACACACTCTCCCCGGCCCCACTGCGATGGTAGTTTGCTCTCACTCCGGGCAGTGTTTGGCCACAGGGCACGCGCGTCGCCGGCCAGACCAGCACCCAGCTCACGTGCGGAACGTACCATCCGCGGTCCAGCCCGGAGGGGGGCGGGGGAGGAGGGGCCGGGCCGGGAGGGGGCGTCGGGAGAAGGCGAGCGGCGGCGGGAGGGGGCGGGGACACCTGATCAGGGCCACCGGAAAGGAAAAACAACTTCGGCCAAGCTATTCATCTTCCCAAAGGCGATGCAGTCTGAGGGGGGAGGGGGCCGGGGTGCGGGGCAGCCGGGGCTTCCTTGGCTTGGAAACGCGACTCCCGCGGTTCGGTCGTCATTACGGTGCAGAAACGTGAACGTGGCTTTTTGCTTTTCTACTGATGGGCTGTTGGTTTGGATTAGAGAATGACAAGAGAGATTTCGCGGTGGGTAAACTTCAGTTCCGAAGGAAATTTTGGAGACTTGTTTGCTCACCGCTCAGTGGCCGGGAGAACCCTTGGCGCGGGTTGGAGGTTGCCCCGAAAAGGGGCAATTTGAAATCAGCTCCACGAGGGATTTCAGATAAATGAAAATGTAATTATTGGGTCAGAATGTCGCAATCCTAATGCCTTTCGGAGACGCACTGTCCCTGGGCCACCTAAACTTCCCGCAGCAGCCGGAATTGCGGTGCCACTAATCACAGCAGCAGATGACGACGTTTGGGGCCTCTTGTGCTTGCGGAGGAACGCGGCGAGGAGAGAGCGGGGGTAGGGAGGGTGGAGGGGGTGGCACAAGAGGGGCAGCCACAGAAAAGCAATGCAGCATTTATCACTCTCTGGCGAAACTCCGCCGCCCCTCTGCGCCTCTGGTGACGCTAACGTTCTTTCTTTGAGCCCCCAGCCCCCGTGCGATAAGCCACGCCGGGAGTGTGCCGAGCCCACGTTTACTACCGCTGGCACCTCCAAAGCCTCCCTCCTTAATCCTCTCTCAAACGGGTACCAGCACAGGGCCAGCAACGTGATCCGACCTGCCGCTGCTGCCACATCACTGCGCGGGGAAACCGTGCGCGCGCGCGCGCTGGCCCAGCAGCCGCGGGAGCACAGGCTAGCACGAGCGGGGCTACCTTTCTGCAGAGCCACACCAGGAGCATGACTCACTCACTGCTAGTGAGAGTTACCCGGAGGTGCCCCGGGATGAGCACTGCCCACGCCGCCCTAAGCGGCAGGAGACAGGGTCCTGGGAGGCTAGGGGAAAGTGTCTTGCGGGACCCCCAGGTCTCCTGTCCCTTTCTGCCGCAACTTGGTCTGCGAGGGGTGAGATGGAGGAAATATATATTAATCTCCTGAACAAACAGAAATTAAAGCCAAGCTTTTTTTCTTGCACTTAGAGTAATAATTGCATTCTCCTCTGGTGATTTCCGAAACATTCATTATTGTCAGTGGCACGTGAACCAAGGGTAGCAGAACACCAAATGTACACGCACTGGAGCGCAGCAGGGATAGGGGCCGTCGCTACGTGTCCTCCCGGCAGCTACCCCCACCCCCAGCCTCAGGCCCGGCGGGCGCGGGTTCCGGGGACGGATCTGGGTCGCTGGAAGCGGCGGCTGGAAGGAGGTCACGTGGCTGCCAGAGTCGCGTCTCTTCCCCGCCTCCAAGAGCCGCCGGGCCACGGCCTCCACCGCTAGAGCTGCTGCAGTCTCCCGAGTCCTGCACAGAGACGCGCAGCGCGTCTGGCTTCGTGACTTGGGCGGCGGCGGCGGCGACCCGGGCTCACCCTGGCGAGATGAACCGATTCAATTCCTAGACTCCTTTCAAGGACCCTGAAGGTCTCTCGACTTCCTCAAATAGGGGATATAATTTTGCACCAAATAGGCAATTTAATAAAGATAATACTTAAAAGGTATTTTTCAATGCTGTTGTATTTAAACCTTTATCCGAACGTCTCTCCTGTTTCCAAGTAGTTGAATGAGTACTTCCCTTTGGTGGGGAGGGCAAGTTAGAACCCTAAAGCTGCATATTCCTGCACTACTGTATCGTTTTTCCCCCTCTTGTTTTGTCCAAAAAGAAGGAATGGGAGGATGTCATTAAGGTTAACAACAACAACAACAAACAAACAAACAAAAAAATTAAAATACCAGCTCCCTTTACAGGATCTGATTGTTTGGAGTAGGAATAGGGTTGAAAAATGATCATTAAACTTATGAAAATGAAGTAAAGACCGAATCCTTGTATCTTGGCCTTGTCTGTAGATCAGAGGAGACCAAGTCAGACATCTGACCAAAGCAAACCTTAGGGACAAAGTCTAGGCCAGTTTCTACTGCAAGTTAAAACAGGAGGAACCAGGACCTGCACCTTGAGGATCAAGGGTGGATTAAGTTAGCATACACACTTTCTATAATCTAACGACACAGAAAGAAGATACTGTCTGCCTATGAAGACTTTTTGTTACCACTTTTCTCTCCTCTCTCTCCAATCCCTTCTGTACCAAGCTTCCATATTCCTGTAGTCAATAGTTTGGTTTTCTCTTCCTCTCTTTCCTCTCCTGATACCCAGCTCAACTGTAAATGGGCTTATTTTTCAATTTTTGATCTCCTTTGTTATTTTTGATTCTCACTTTCCTCTTCTTGTTTTTCCCTTTCATGCCCCTTTGCTCTTCTTGTTTTCCTTCTTTCTCTTCTTTTCCCTTCTGTTATCTTCTATCTTTCCCTGTTAAATATCTGTTTTTGCCCTGTCCCTGCAGTTTTTGTTCTAGGTCCTGTGTTTTTTAACCTTTCACCCTGGTGACACTTCTTGCTTATCCACTTCCTTAAACTTGAGTCCTACCCCTTTTCTTTCTCAAACTATTGTTCTGGACACCAAGCATAGTGTTTTGTTTTTTAATATTGATTTTTTTTTAGTTACAGCTGGACACAATACCTTTATTTTATTTACTTATTTTTATGTGGTGCTGAGGATCAAACCCAGGGCCTCCCGCATGCTAGGAGAGCGCTCTACTGCTGAGCCACAACCCCAGCCCCAACCAGGAATAGTTTGATGTCTCCAAGTGTTCCTTTTCTGCAAGGAGGGCAATAACAATAGCTGACAACTACATAGCACTTAGGATTAGTGTACCAGACTCCATTCTAAGGGCTTTTCATGTATTAACTCATTAATCCTTATAGTACTGACCCTGCATATGGTAGATACTATTATTCTCTGCATTCCATAGATGAGAAAATGTTTACATAGCGAGATTACAAAATGTGTCAAAGGTCCCAGAGCAGGATTTAAGCCCAGTGTATGCCTGAGTCTGAACCCTTTACTGTTACCCCTTAATGTGAATGGTGAGGGCTAAAGTCTAAATGTTTACCTGCTTCAGGGGTGTGCTTATGCACATTTGTTGTGGAGTATGTGTGTGAATGTGGAAGGGTGGGATTTTGCAAGAGAGATGGGGGAAGGGAGAGATGTTAGCACTAGAGCTGATGGCAGAGAACCAAGAAGGTATAACAGAGATGGGTAGCAGTCTTTTGGCTGTCAGTAGTCATCCATTTGGCATCTAGCTCCACATTTATTGATTTAAGTCCAAACATCCTAATTAACTGTTATTATTTCATACAGATGTACAGAGGAAGGTTAGTGTAGAAAAGGCTAATGGTGACTGATTGTTCACCATCTAACTGAGCAAACCAAGCCAAACTCTAATGTGAAGCCTGCAGGTTTGTAATAGGAAGAATTCACCTGTGGTCAGGTTAGAAAGGAAAAAATTCCCCTGACAGAGGAACAAAAACTGGACTGCCCGCTTTGGACATGTTTAAAATAGATTGAGTCTTATCTTTTTAGGAAGGCTTAATGCTGTTCTGCTGAAAGCCAAGAAGGTACAAAATGAGCTCAAAGCCCCTTTGAGCTTATAATTTAATGATTTTATGATGCGTGCCTCCAATGAAAGATACCCATCTTTCTCCTTTTTGTAAGTAGTGGAGAAAGCTGCTCCCATTGGTTTTCTTTGGTTAAATAGGGAAATCACTTCTACAGAGACTAACAATTTGGCCCAGGTGTTTTTCTCCTAAGTATTCTAGGCCTTACATTCATTATATTCACCTTGTGGCTTTGGAAGTTCTTATCTTACTTGCTTGCAATGTCTTGGATTTCCAACAAAGACAGAATTCTCCTGAGAAGATTAAAGTTCCATTAGGAACATAGGTTTTCTACCTCTTTAGTGCTCTACAAGTCCTACTGCTCTTCTGGAGAGGTGACTCATGGAGAGGTGACCCCAGACCTGAACTAAATGAATTATGTACTTCTGATGGCCTTAGAAATTCCAAGCTCTTCTGAAAGTGAGGAATCTCGTGCCTGTGATGCTGTGAAAACAGCCCATGGGGGGCAGATGTGTGGAGTGTGTGTGTGTGTGTGTGTTGCTGAGGATGCAATCCAAGGCCTCCAGCATGCTAGCCAAGCCCTCTACCACTGAGCTGCACCTCTAGTCCCAGATGCCTTAATGGCCTCTGTTTTGGATAGAATTTATAGTTGTTCTATGTCATTTTACTCAAACAGAAGATATAACCTATTCATCAAAGAACATAAGAATCTAAAAGTTTGGAGTTGATGCTTAAATCGAAGCCAGGGGGAAAGGTGGTAGGAATCTTCTTTTGTGGAGAAGGGTTAATGCTGTCACACACCCTGCAGAAAGAAAGATAACACCAAGAAGGATCTTAGGAGGGAGGGAAACCCCACTACTACTCACCAGAAGCCAAATATGACTTTAAGATATTGATGATGTTATTTGCTGAAGGTACCAGATTTAGAATCCTGGAATAGAAGGTTAGGTTTCCCAGTTGCATACTCAGCACTTTAGCCACAGCAGCAGAAGTGTCCCCTTTTTAATTTGTAAAAGAACTTAAGTCTTTCTGTAGCCTACCAATTAACGTGTCTTTATGGTTGTAAATATACACATGAATCACGTTTTATACTTATGTAACACTTTTTAGGACATTTATCCACTTATTAGTCTTTGCATAGTACCAAAGAGCAGATGATATTAAGGATAGGAAATACATTCTATTCCTGCTGAAATCACTTATATATTTGTATTTATGTGATTGTCACAAACTCCCTGGAAGGCTATTCCAAATTTAATGTGTTCTC